CCCCAATCCCCCTCTGTTGAGCTAGCTACCGCACCACCATGTTACATCTGCCCAAGAGGAGATGGACGAAGGGATCCACAGGTTACATATCACCGCTGAGGTGGTGTTCCCACCTTGGGGACACATACTACCCCCTTTTTCTCCCAAGACACGCTTTCACATGTGGAATTCGGATTGCACGTTGGTGACTGCTGCCCCTTCTCGGTTTGAGTGTGCGAGAGTGAGTGAAGGCGATTATGCATGCACACATTAGTGTGAGACTTGACACTTGTGGGTGCAGGTTGTAGTTGCCGCATTATTTTTTATTTTTTTGTATGCTTGTTCAATTCACACCAGCAGAGAATTCTAACCCCCCCTTCCCTATGCTCCTAATCCCATAGTAAAATTGTAAAGAGGATTTTAAAATTCTAAGTTATCCAAAGCCCCATAGGGACCTCTATCTGTGGAACAAAGAATACTTGAGAGCCATTTTGTAAAAAAGAAAAAAACATTTTTCTTTAATGCGGGGCTTTAATTTTTTACTTAATAATTAGTTTTTCTCCTTACCACGTGGCTTTCGAAAAGCACCGAATTATTGGCAATCGACTCTGCGGTGAAAAAAGGTCATTTAAATAGTGAGAAGTGTTTAAAAAAAATCTGTCATGTTATTTGCAATGGGTCATTTCCTAGGAGACGTTAATTATTATTGGGCGAGTAGTTAGAGTGGCTTTAGAGAGAAGAGGCACCATGCAGAACCACTCTCTGAGCCCACATTGGAGAGTGCTGTAATCCTAATTTATCACACACACAGACACACACAGACACACACTCACACACAACTGCCTTCCTGTTCATACAGTTGCACACAGACCTTCAGTATGTATGAAACCCCCCCTGCACTTTGAGTGGTCTTTTTTGCTCTACTGCAATGGCATAAATCCATAAGCTTCTCATAGCCTTATGGTCAACACACTTCGTTCCGATGGTTTAAAAGGTTGCGTTGGCAAAGACTCAAAGCCTAACTGGAGATTGCTAAAGGATTTGAACCCTCACTACGCCTCTATGCACCCAAAAGCAGTGACTGATCATCTTATAGACGTTATAAAAAGGTAACCTTGCACATGTAAGGCATAGAGCATGGAGTTTAAGAGAGAATTCAGCATTAACACCCCCTCCCTTTTTTTGCTCTCCAGCCAAGTTATTCAGTGGTCAGTGCACCATTCAAAGCTTTCTTCCTCCCTTTTTTCAGGGTTTGTAATGACTATTTGCTACAGACTGATATACAGTAAAACATGTTTAAAATCAGTGCTTTTCTGTCTGTTTTTATTGAACTTTTTTGTTACTTAAATTTTTTGTTCACATTATATCATTTTTTTTTTTTTTGGTTGACCTCTATCCCTGTATGATCATATTAAAATATAACCAGACATTTGGAGTCCTCATTTATTTTGTGGTCTTCATAACCCCCCCTTCGTTATCTTTCTTTTATAATCTATGTTTTGTTTGTTCCTTTGTATTCAGTTGCATTTATCCACCACTATTCTTACAAATGAATATGCACAGTAACACCCATGCCAGCTTTAGTGGGAGGAGTTTTTATTAGAAAGTGTGTTACCTACAATCAAATCAGGTTCAAACTTATCCACACCTCGCCTTTAAAGAGTTTTCTTCATGTGAAGTTCTAATTCATCGCATGTTTGTGTATTTGAGCGGAATATCTCTCTTGGTGTGCCATTTTTGATGGATCTGACCCTCATCAAAGCCAAATCACTCGAGGCACGCTGGTGTTTTTTTGTAGGTTTATGTGTGTCATGGTCTGAAATTCACAATTCCATCTTTATTTCCTGGATTGCAGAATGGACTCCTCTTCCATACCCGATATTATTTCAGAAGACTTGAAGCAAAACGCGCACACTTAACCCCAACAAGAGTTTCCGTAAAGCCCATCATTCAAATGCTATGTCTGTATGCAACCTGGTGTCTACTCTTCTTTTGTCTGAGTTTACAGAAAAAAGTTGTTTCTGATTTAACTATGTCTTATTTCAGGTGGTGGGGAGGGGCCGGGTGGGGGACACTAAGGGCTTACTGTAGCATCTCTAAATTCCTTAGAGGAAATGGGCGATGTGTGGCTTTGCGTTCAATGTGTTATTTACTAAAGTGATTGTACTGTTTTGTATTGTTGTGTAGGAAAAGTGTTATGTATGCATATTTTCAATAAAGCATTCAGGGTTTTGAAAAAAAGGCCCATGGAAGTTTGATGGGGCAGGAAATTGTGAAGGCCCCAAGAACAAAGTTTCAGACATGCAGAAAACCATCTCTCACACCCCTTCAATACAGAAATCATGAATCAATGCTTTTGTCAAAGCATGTGTCCAAGGCTCCAAGAAAAATTGGATTTCATTTCTGTTAAAATTCTACTTTGTATTCAGTCATTTATTTCTAAATGTCTTTAAAGCATTTTCTGGAGCCAGCAAATCTGGTAAGAGGTAATCTATGATGCCATTAGGAATAACAAGAACATTTGCCAATAAAGTGACGTTATTTTGAGTAAGTCTTGTTGTTGGCCATGCATTACTACACAAAACATTAACTTTAGGAAGAAGTGGCAAAGGGCATGGGTGCTAGCAAGGGGTCACCAGTGACATTGTGCCACCTTGTGGTCAAAGTAAAAACAAAAATAAATGTACATACAAAACATACTTAGGCATAGCCTATAGTAAACTTACTGGAAATAAGAGACAATAGTTATATAATGAATGGATAAATAAAGGAATTGAACCCTGAACTAATAAAGCTAAAAAGGAAGACAAAAGTATTTTGCTATGTTACTTAAAAGTACAAAGGTGTTGGCATCGAAATGTACTTAAAGTATCTAAAGTAAAAGTACCATTATGTAAAATGGTGTATTCAAATTGGATTTGATAACAGCACTTTATTTGAGAATAAAATATAATAAAAAAAATAAAAATATTTATTCTAACAGATAAGTTAAAGTCAAAATGTGCACAATGCACGGCAATAGGCCTATAGTCTTCCAACAATAAATATTTCAAAAAATATTTCAAAACATATAATAGTGGACATAATTGTTTTACTAACTTCAACTATTTTATATTCTGCTGCTATTCCCTTAACCTATATTTATACATTTGTATAAGAGGATAATTTGACTCTTTAGAGAAGACAAACTAGTAGCTAAAGATTTGTGGTTGTAGACTGAAAATTACAATATTGTTTTTTAAAATGTAGAGGCAGAAGAATAGGGAAACATAACATGAACATATTCAGCTTACTATAAATACTTAAGTGCAATACTTTATTAAATGTACTTAGTTTTACATTCCATTTGATGTTGCTAATACAGTATGATAGAAACCCTGCTAACATGCTAACATGGGTTTGTTTTGCTACCTCTGAGTGGGAGGAGCGTACGGCTGACGTCAATCTGACCCGCCCCCTCCGCTGTCTCCCTTCGCCTCCCCGTCTAGTCCAGTGTCTCAAAGCCTAGAACGGAGCACCATCGAGGGGGTCTAGTTGGCTGTCAACCGAGCTCCTACGGCAGTCATGGCGGCGCCGTTAGCCCACTTCGATGAGGACTGGCAGGATTTCAATGAGTTCAAGCCGGCCTCAGCGTCCGCCGAGCAGCTGGACCAGCTGAACTCCAACGTAGGCGAGCCGTCGGGCCTAGACGATTTCTCAGACCTGGACAACAGTTTCTCCGGGGAGATCTGCAGCTTCAAATCGATGGAGGACCTGGTCCAAGACTTCGACGAGAAGCTGACAGTGTGTTTCCGAAACTACAACACAGCGACGGAAAACATAGCGCCCATTAAACCCATCACAGAGGATAACTACCTGAAAGACGATGAGTGAGTGTTTGTTTTATGTGGGGTTTAATATTTACGTTAACTTTTAATCTCTAGCTAGCCATGTTAGCATCAGCAGGCTCACATAGCGTTGTTAGCTTAGCTACAATCAGTGCCGTCCAAAGTTTGGTCAACGACCTAGAGCTTG